CCAGTCCATGTTAACATCAAGCTCAAACGACCATTAATTTTTTTAACGAAAACGGACGAGTTTGGAACATAATGAATAGTCATGTGATAATTTTGTAACTTTTAATAGCCGAGTGACTCAACAAAGCAAATCCTTATAGTCATGAGATTATTTTGTAACTTTTAATAGTTGGGGGACTTAACAAAATATATCCTATAGTCGAGGGAGTATTTGAGTATTTAACCCAATTATATATTATATAATTTTTAATTAAACCATCCAATCAACTAGACATATACACTAAATTGGCCGCGGAAATCTCAACTATTATTTATTCATTGAATGTGTTACTAAAAGCCAACTTATATTTGGAAAAGATGGAAGAAAAGAAAAGGCAATATATAACAAGGGACAGCTATGCAGTGAAATGCATGTAAAATATGTCTCAACAATTTTATGATCAATGATTGACTTTCGTTTTAATTTTAGGTTTAATTCAATAATAAACCCTTATATCATATTTTCTTACGTAGGTATTAGATTATTTTTGGTCAATTTTTTTATTAATTTAGAATAATTAGAATGTTGTATATGTTATAAAGATTCTTAGTCCCAATAAAATTTCAAACATCATTGCAGTCTCTTATGCTCATACCTGAAATTTCTAAGGATAACAAAATTCCCTTTAATCATAAAAGTACCTTGGTTCATGTTATTTTTGTATCAACTTATAAATATAAAATATTATCTATAATCATTTCTTCTAATCGTTCTTTTAACTATTTAAACCGACATAATATAATTAAAAATATAATATGTGACACACTCAAAAAGTATTGCGTGACAAAAAAAATCTTTTAAACATCTTAGAAAATTCAGGATATTATTAAGTACTTTTTAAAAATATTTTTTTGTTGATACAAAAATAGAAGATGAGTTGTTTTGTAAATTTAATTCAAGCAACATCCTTACTAAAGTGAAAGAGAAATCAGACACAATTACGTCCATTGGATCATCATATTTATTGGTTACTAGAATGTCTGCTACCTTGTTTTGTTATTGTCTCATATATCATGATCTCACCTTTCTATCGTGTGAAGAAGTTCATGAACAGATTTCATAATGACATTCTAATACAGTGCCATAGATTTGTGAATGAGAAAATTGTAGATATATACATTATCAATCTCTAGCTCAACTTTCTTGAAGCCTAATCTCCATGCATATTGTAGTATATCATGGATTGCTCATAACTCAATCATTATAATCAAGCATTATCTCAAGCTACGCGACAAATTGAATGTCAAAGAGTCATTAACACTCTAGATCATATCACCACAAGAAGCGGCCTCATCGCTATTACAAACTACCCCATTCACATTATCTTTTTCCCACTCGATCGGATGGCGACTTGATTCACTTACACTTACGAGAGACATCATGTAAACCTCACGTTCTAATCTTATATAACAATCATTATGATTTCCACATCCAATTTCCATTTGTTTGTATTCATCCAATAATGATTCAAACTCCACAAATTAATTATCGAATAGTTGTTTATTTCTTCTCATCCAAAAGATCCAACAGACTAACAGGAATCGTGACAAAGATTTTTCCAATTAGTTAACCTGATTGCACTCAGAACTACTAGCAATACTTTTCCTCAAGTGTTTCCCCAGGTATTTTGAATTACTTAACATTTATACATATTTCTTTTTTTTTTCCCATTTTATATTTTAGCATCAATTATTTTTTTTTATAATTTTTGGATTTTATTGGAAAAAAATATTTTTTTTGGGATTTTTATTTTTCTTATGCATGCTTAATCAACTTAAACGATTGAGATAAGAACATGCATCCAAATGGTTACAGATATAATAGTTTAAGTAACTAAAAATACTTCAAGGACTTATTATTGTGTTAAGTCTAATTTTTAGTAATAACAATTTAAAATTTTAAACTTATTTATCAGTAGACTAAATCTTAGTTTGATTAGTGTAGTTGGTTGTACAACATTTGAGAGGATGTAGGTATAAGTGTGCTTAATTATTTTACTCCGATTTAGTATACGTTGAAGATTTTTTTTCTAATCTATTGATAATATGCACACATTTTATAGATATCTTACTCCATTTATAATACTAATATTTTATTATCAACTTAAATCTGTTGTATAATCAAGATTAATATATATTAACCCTTAGGGAACGTTTAATTCGTGGAAAAGATCATTATCAAATTTTATTCCCACGTTTGTTTCAGGGAAAAGATTATTACCAGGTAATAACTTATTACCAATAGTAGCACTTTTTGGTTAAAATGGTGGGAATGTTGTTACCTCCAAATTCTTAGGTACTGAACAATTTCCACCACTTTGGACACAAAAACCACTGAAATAACAAAAAAAAATTCATATGGATCATTCTCAATTTTTATTCATCGTATTTTACTCAAAATTATAAACTTAATAATAATATACAAATAGTTTAATTTAGTAAAATATTACTAATAAATTTGAGTAGTTAAAATTATTTTTTTATTTTTAATATTTAGTATATTAATCATTTTATGAGGTGGAAATATTATTATTGTAAAAATGTAATTATTTAAAATAATATTTAATTTTGAATTATTAAAAAGTAGATGTTAGACATTGAAAATAATACATTTGTCTATTCGAGACCACACTATTATTGAAAAATGTGATATTTATGAAAAATATTTAAAAATATAAGTTTGATATACTAATTATATTAATTATATGTTAAATGTTTTTATAAATTTTCATTCAAATATTTATAATTTATATTAAAATTTACCTTATTAAAAAGAACATATATCACAAGAATAATTTGATAAAATATGCATCCATATAATCTTATATTCATTCAATCAAACACTGTAATATTATATTTCTACTAAACAAACCAAACAATGTAATACAATATTCTCATAATAATGTTATATTTCATTAATTTTATTTCTAAAAATAATCTTATATTTCGTGAACCAAACGTCCGGTGAGAGTATTGTGACAAAGTGATGAGATTAGGATCAAGAAAAATAATTACGAAACTAAAGCAACAAAAATCTAATTCATATTATTTTCTCGTTTTTTTTACTTTTTTATAATGAAAATAAAATTATAGTTTTTGTTAATTGAATAAATAAATAATTTACTTTAGAATATTTACTTTTTAGATTGTTAAATTTAATTTCAAGTTTCACTTAAATTATAAATTTTAATTTAGTCAAATTACACCATTTGATTTTTATTATCAATAAATTAAATCATTTACAATACTAACATTGTTAAATAACTATAATGAAAAAAATTAAATTAACTATAATGTAAAATTTTAATATAAAATTATTTAAATGATCAATTAGATATTTTGATGATGATATGTGAAAAATATGTTAAGTAAAAATATCAATTTAAAATCAAGATAACATCTTTATAATATTTATTTATCAAAATGACATTCAGAAAATTTCAATTCTCAAAATGACACATATTTCTAACAATGTTATCAAATCCGGACCGGCCCGGCCAGTTCGACCGGTTGAATCGAAAACAGGTTGCCTGTCCGGTCGATCAGCCTCTAAATCAGTTTTGCAATGAACCGCTAAAGAACCGTAGAACCGGTTGGAACCAGCAAAACCAGTGTAAACCGACGGTTCTGTTTTTTAAAAAAAATTAAACCAAACGACGTCGTTTTTTTATGATTTTTTTCAGCCCCAAATTTATTTTAGTTATATAATTATCATCAAAAAACAATGAAGGTTAATCTTTGCTTGTTTATTTTAGTTATATAATTATATTTATTATTTAATATGTTTTACACTTTTACTTTTAATTGTTAAGTATTGTTTGAGAATTTAAATTTAACTTTGTATTTATTTATCATATTGTTAGGTGATGAAGATCTTGATGCTGTGGACTTTCAAGTTCAAAGTGATGCTATGGAGTTTCAAGTTCAAAGTGGTGATGGCGGTGATAGTTCAACTAATGAAGAAGTTTTTCCTAATATTTTAAAATTTAAGGGAATCAATTTCAATGAATATTATGATGATTGATACTTGTATCAATTATGTATTTTTTTTATTTAGTTGTTGATTAATTTCATTAGGTATTGACCTTAAATATTATGTTGTTGTAGTTGATTTGAATCATTTTGTTTCATTTGATATTATGGTATTTAACTTATATATGTTATGACTTGTGATATTTTACCTTTTAATATTATGAACTTTAAAAGAGTGTTATATATATATATATTAATATTGTTTGAATATTATGTAAAATTTTTAAAAAAATATTATTTTATATAAATCGGTTCAACCACGGTTTAATCCGGTTGAATCAGTGAACCAATAAATCAGTACATTCACCGATTTAAGGTCCAGTCCGATTTTAAAAACATTGATTTCTAACAAATAGGACAAATGTGCGCTTATACTGTAACGTCTTTTGAAAGACTCTTCCTCAAGAAAACATTTTTACTTACGTGTTAAACTCATAATCAATATTGGCATCATTCAATACCTGCCACTTAAGCAAAGATTTTTGCTTGAAGAAGAGTCTTTTAAAAGACGCTGTCACATATACACACATTCATGGGATGAATGTGGCATAAACGAATGACATTTTGAGAATGAAAGTTTTTGAAGTGCTATTTTGAAAAATAAATATTAAAAAGGGCATTATTTTGATAATTTAGCCACTACACCAAACTTGAAAGGTCAACTCTGGTGTAAACTAAATGGGAATGAAAAGTGATATGACAAATTGCCAATTGACAAAAGTGAGGAGAAAAGCAATGATGAAGCACACGAGAGGGGGAAGGTGGGCAACTGCACTCACCAAATCTTTTTTTGGAGAAACTAAATTGTTTGACTTTGACTTGTATAAAGTAAAAAAACAGATTAATCTAATTCCACCCTTCTTTCTAGGCTTGGAAATAGGCATGTTTGTTTTCATGTTTTCCTTCATTATATAAATCAAACTAGTTTCAGTTAGTTTCTTGGACTCATTTCAAGCAGTTCATAATGAATCAAATGGCTATAGCCGCTCTCAAAACTCAGTACAAGAATTTTGTTCAATCTATGTTCGATGAGGTACCATGTTCTTGCTTTCTTATTTTTTTTTTACTGTCATATACCATTATTTTTTGTCAAAGGTTTAAGCTTTAATCGTTCATGAGTAATTCTTTAAAGATAATTCGGAATCAGAAATGATGGTGCCATTCCATTTAGCTCAAGGGTTTTTGCCTATTTTCTCAAAATTTTCATTTTTGATGGTTTTAGTTTTGTTTATCCAGGGAGTGCTTGACAACCAGTTTAGTCAACTTCAAGATTTACAGGATTCCAGTAATCCCAACTTCGTGGATGAAGTGATCACTTTGTTTTGCAATGATGCAGAGAGGATCATAACTGAAATGAACAGATATTTGTAATCTCAAACTCATGATCTTATCATTCAACCTTATGTTTGAAATTTGATCTTTGTAATCCTAAAACTAAATCATATCACTGCAGGAATTATCAGAATGTTGATTTTAGCAAACTGGATTCTCATGTTCATCAACTTAAAGGAAGCAGCTCAAGGTTCTTAGAGCTGTTAACTATTCTGTAATCTATCTGCAATAACTGATGATTGAAAAGTTGTTTATTCTGTAATCCATGATTGGGTGTTCTGTTTTATGCTATTTTCAAAACTTGGTCATTTTCTAAAATGATTTTTCTGTGTTTGATCTCTCAGCATCGGTGCACATCGCTTGAAACTCGCGTGTGTTAACCTCCGCCAAGCTTCCTACGACCGGAGCAAGGAAGAGTGAGAGTTTTCGAATTCGGAACCAATGCATTCACTTCGATTTTATTAGCCCCATATAGTTGATAAACATGTTATGTTATGGCAGGTGTGTTGGAGCTTTCAATTCGATCAGACATGAATACTGCCTTCTGCGCAGCAAATTTCAGTTCCTGATGCAGATAGAGAGGCGCATTGTGGCACTCGAGACCAGCCAACAATGAATAGATAGCAACCGACAACGGAGAACAGTTACCTTGAATAGGATCACATTGTTGATCTGCATTTTACAATAAGCCATTAGGAAATCAGTCGGTGCTTTGTATTATAAGAATGTTTGCATGAAGATAGACAATGAAAAACTGGTCTTTTTTTTAAAACTTTAATGGATTATTTTTATGCATAATTTGTTTCTTCCTTCTTATCTTTAATCCCATCAAGAGTAAATGGTAAAGATTTATTCTGAAAGTTGAGTAACACAGTCTCATCTCTATCCAAACGATGGATACACAAATAAATTTTTTTTTCCAAACTGGAATCCTTGCAATCAACTTGTAAATGAGGCATATTTGGACTTAATTGTGCTGAACTGCTTGCACTACAACCAAAACTTGAAATAACATCATTTATTTTTCGGTAAACAACATGTTTAGTATCTAAACTATTACTTTTGTTTCGTTTTAATACCTAAACTTTAATTTTTTTAAATATATCTAACGTTTAGTTTAAGTTTCATTTTGGTACCCTACTTAACGGTGATGTTGATGTGTCATCATATGGTAATGTCACGTCATTTGTTCTATTAATTATTTAACGATGAAGTATCAAATTGAAATCTAAACTAAACGTCAAGTATAGTTTTGAAATAAATAGAGTTTGAGAAACAAAAATAATAATTTAAGTACTAAATGTGTAGTTTACCCATTTATTTTTTTTAACTTTCCAATGTTTTGTGTAGAATGATTACTAGCGAACCTTACTCCATACTCTGCCATAAAACAATTTCTTAATAAAATTATAAAAAAGTATTTAAAATATATAAAACTTTAAAACTGTTAAGAGTTATTCCATCAACCCATCGATTCATCTCTAAATCCCATGGTTGAAAGAAATGAAAAATTCATGGAATAACCTTTTCCAACTTTATTACACCTCTGCCCATAACGAAGTAAACGTGAAAGAGAGAAGATATGGAGCAAAGACAAAAAAAAAAACACACCCAGAAAAACAAGAGACAGTAGAAGGAGAAAATTAAGAAGAGGTTAAGGATAAGGATTGTAATTGGACTGAAAAAAAATAGTTTGAAAATTTAATTAGAATTTTGATTTTGATCCGATTAGACTCGTTTAAATATAGACTTTAAAATTTTCATATTATCTTTTATCAAAATAGAAAAATAATTAAGTAAAATTTTGTCCAGAAATTATGTTTGAGAGACTATCGAAGACTCAAACATTCGAGAGACTATCGAGAAATTATGACATATTCAAATTGTCGAGAAACTGTCCAATGAAGATATTTGGATTTTTTTTTTGAATCATATTTTTTAAACTTTTATAATTTTGAAATAACGATTATATAAAAACCCTAAACACTTCTAAACAATACAATTTTATATATTATTATTAAATAATGTTTAATTGATAATATAATAATTTTTGTTAGAATTCATGAAAAATTTGTTTTTTTTGAATTTATTTAAATGAAAAAAAATGTTTTTTTGAATTGTTTAAACCGGGTTTGGGGTTCAGACCGGGTTTAGAGCAAAATATAACTGAGCTTATTGCATGTGGGAGGGAAAAGCTTGCCTCAGTTGTTTGTGGTGGTGGTGTTGCTGCTGCAGCTGCTGCACCAGGAGCTGCCGTTGGTGCTGCTCCAGCTGCAGCTGAGACTAAGAAGGAAGAGAAAATTGAGGAGAAAGAGGAATCCGATGATGTAATAACTCTATAAAACTATTTTGTTTACTTCCTTTTGTTGTGGTCCAAAACTTAACAGATGAGTGCAGGTAGAGGTTTTTCGACTGATCAACTTCCATTTTTATTTACTGTGTTGCAGGATACGGGTTTCAGTCTCTTTGACTAAAAACAACCACACATCGCGCATCCAAGAAGAGAGATTCAGTGGTGAAAATACGTGTGGTTTACAGAAATTTTCTTTTGAATTAAGACTGGTCTAGATTTTTTAAGCTTATTCAGTGTCAAGTAGTTCTCTGTTCCTTTTTGGATTCATATATTTTGTTAAGATATTTGCTCTGTCGAAAGCTACTGTTGCAATGGAATTTTCCCATTTCATTTTAATGAACTCGAATTTCATGCCCAATGCTATATATTGAACAAATCCAAAATCAATAATGTTAAATTTTTATGTGATTTGTTGCTCATTTACTCTTTTCTGAAATCCAAGTTTTCTAAAGTTACCCAATTGAATATCCGATTCTCGTTTTTCCAATGAAATGATTGGTTGTCTCAGTACCAGCAAAATCATAGGAGATATCAGGTGCTTAATTTTGGTACTGCACAATCCACAGTGCCAGATTGTTATTATTAATCACTCAAAAGAAAACCAAGATGAACAAAGCAAACCCCATAATTTGTATACTCAATTCAAGGAGTAATAATAGCACAGCCCAATGCAATAGCACCCTTTCACGTACGTAGTCCTCATGCAACAATGTCATGTGTACTGTTGCAACAGGCATGCAACAATGTCCTCTCAGCTGCTAGTCTTCAAATCTTACAGGCAAAGGAAAGACCTTCTTTTGTCAGCACATCCAAATTCTCTACGTTAGGCTGAAGCTTAGCAACTTTAGCAATTTCCTGGTTTTCTTCTAAAGTGCTACCTTCTAGGAATGCTCCAACCACCTTCCCATCTTTTATCCAGTAAGATCCAAACTTTGCTTTCGGCGATTGCGGGTTATTGTCTCCAAAAAGCACTGTATCCCCCACATTATCACCATAGAACTGCCACGCTAGATCGAAGGAGCGAGAATAGAAGTATGGTAAGTAGTCATATTGTCAACTGTTTCCCCCCTTCTCATTTCCCTTGATGGCCTGCAAAAATTGCAAGAATGGTTCAACAGCTATATTTGACTATTAGAAAGTAAAATTTAGATGATATATGAGTATAAAGATAACCAAGTCAGGTAAAACAAACCTTTACTGCCTGTTCGGCAGATTTCTGGGCATGGTCAACATGTTCAACCCTTCTCAACTCATTGTACAACTTCAGAGGGAAAGTGGCTACATCACCCACAGCATATACATTGGGAACACTTGTTTTGAAAAACGCATCAGTCTGCAATCAAACAAATTGTCATACAATCACATATCAATCTTAATTAGAGTTTATGCTTAATGAAAAGCATTCAGATTTATATAATATCAACGGAATAATTAAGGAGATCAATTCCATAACAAAGTTGAATAAGTATTTTGAGCTGACATTTATAATGAAAAAGGCATTTTAGATTATGTTATAAATCAAACCAACCTTTATTCCACCCTTCTCCTCTTCAACCCGCCCTTTGAATGATGTCGTAAGAGGCCTTCCACCGACACCAACAACAACGTCAGCTTCAAGAACTCTGCCATCCTTAAGTTGAACTTCCTTTACCTGAAAGGAGGGCGAAAGTGCCGGTAATAAAATGATTTCATCCCATAAAAGATTACTAAATCATCAGAGCCTTAAGAGAGATGACCACTTACCTCTGCAACTATTCCCTTTATAATTTTGATCCCTTCATTAGCATAATAACCCTCGTAGAAAGCAGCTATGTCAAAGGTGAAAAGCCGGGGCACTACAAGAACAAGCTTCAAGTTAGAACAACAAGAATCCACCACAAATCAATTTAGTTCATTTATTCCTTTCCCTAAAGTTATATTTCGACAGTTGAAATCTACGTACTGCACCATGGTTCGGGGTACACCATGCTGACATCAAGATTGTTGATCCTCAAGGCAGCACCAAGCTCAAGACCAATATAGCCTCCTCCAACGATAACAGCCTTGCCATTCTTCTTGGTTTTGATTGCTTCTACCAACTTATCAGCGTCATCAATTTCTCTCAAGTAGAAGATGTTTTTTGGCATCAGCTCCTTGCACTCCAAAATCCGACAACCTTATTACCTGCAGGAATGATGTGTTAAACCATGCATGGTAGGCAATGCTGTCATAACGTCTCCCTCGGGGATTCCTTAGACTTAAAAATTAATTCGGGGAAAGATGATGAAATTTAGGTTTGAAGCAATTTGATTTTGGAGCCTCCATCAACGTTTAAGTTAGTAGGTTGAATACCTAAAATATCATTTTAATGAGTTTAGAAAAATCATTAAAAGACGAAAAAATGGTTTGTGTTTTATTTAAAATATCATTTTAATGAGTTTAGAAAAATCATTAAAAGACGAAAAAATGGTTTGTGTTTTACCAAAAAATCATTTTTAAGAGTTCGAGAGTCGATTACATGTGGGGAAGGGTGAGTACCCCACAACGCCCAAGTTTAGTACCTAAACGATTATATGATGTCTAAATGTTGAGAAATTACAAACTATAATATATATTTAAATTATGATCCTTCTATTCATTCGAATTTATTTAAAAAGATTTCATTTCAGGTTGAGAAGATCAACAGAGGTGGCTAACCTTTAGAGTTAGGATACTAACTTGTCAATTCTCGCAAACTAAAACAACATTACCTTTACAAATAAGAATATGATGACAAATAATAAATGCAATGGGCACAAAAATTAAAAAGCAAAAATATATTTTTATGGAATAAAACTATTTATTTAACCCTAAAAATTATAATTATTTTTATAAGAAAAATCACATCGTTTTGTATGAACAATCTCTCTGAAAATACACTTCCTTTATAGTTAGGATACTTTTTTATGGATCTCCACAAAAGGGTGTTTCTTTAATTTTATGGACGATGTAATTTAAAAGAAATAGTATTATAAATTTTTTAGAAATGCTCAGGTAAAAGAATTCTTTTTGTACGAACAATCCTTGGAAATACACTTTCTTTGTAATTGGGAGAATTTTCTACGGATTCCCTTCACAAAAAGAGTGATCACCGTATTTATTTTTAAAAAAAATCAAACCCAAAGAAAGTACGTTTAATATCTAATAAATGAATAATATGTATGAATATTTAATGTACAAAAAATATTAAGAAAACATGTAATTAAAATGTATGTATATATAATACGAATAGGGGAAAAGAAAATTAAATAAGGCAAAAAGAATATTTACTTCCTATATATATATATATATGCATGCAATTAATATTAAAATAAATAAATGGGGGAAGAAACTTATAACTTAAATGTTATATTAAATAACCAACAATTAAAATTAATGGGGACCACGTGAATGTCAATTTAACCGTTAAATATGAAGGATAATGGCAAGAGCTAAACAAAAGGAAATGTGTAAAGAAAAAAAAAAGAAACATGCTCCATGTGATAGGCAAACATAAAGGATCATAAAAAATAAATGGAAAATAAAAGACATAAAAAGATGAACAAGGAAATAAAAAACAAAAAAACAAACGGCATAACAAAATATAACCGAAATGAATAACAATAATAATAATATGCAACAGAGAATATATAAACGAAACGCTGAAAGTTAAAAGGACTAAACTAAAAAGCATAGAAATTAAAGGGGCAGAAAAATAAAATATAAAAATTAAAGTGTTGGAATAAAAAAAGTAATAAAAAAATATTAAGTTGCATAAATTTAAAAATTAGGGGGTTCTTTTTAATCTTTTAACCTGGACCATAAATAATGTGGTTGTACCCCAAGGCGGGTCACCACAAGGTCATACGATATTTCGAACATAAAATAAATAAATAAGTAAAGAAATAAATAAAATGAGTGTTTAGTGTTAGTGGTTAGAGGCTAGCAGTTAGAAATGTTAGTTGTTAGGAAAGTTAGCGGTTAGTGGTTAGCAGAGTCCGGACTATAATAATGTGGATCATACCCCGGATCGGGTCACCACAAGGTCAAATAATAAATCAAATGAATTAATAAAAATAATAAAAAACAGTTAGGAGTTAGAAGAGTATGGACCATAATAATGTGGATTGTACCCCGGATCGGGTCACTACAAGGTCGAATCGAATACGAGAAACAATAAATAAATAAATAAATAATTGTTAGAATGAAAGAAAATAAAATTCAGTGGTTAATGTGCAATAAAATAAAAGTTAGCAGTTAATATGCAATTAAATAACATAGCAGAATAGTGACCAAATTAAAATAAAGTAAAACAAGGGGCTAAAATCAAAATAGATAAAATCAAAGTAGATCAGTGACCACAATGTAAAAGCAAGGGATAAGTGGAGGGACTTACGGGTGATTAACCCCTAAAATGACCAAGAGTGATAACATGCTAAGATTAAGGGGACTTAACGCCTAATTAACCCAAAAATTTTAAAAACCTCTCCCCCACCTAAACCAAAAGACACATGAAGCATCTCACAGTCTTCCTCTCTTTGCCAGCCCACTATCGGAGACAAACACCAACGCCGGCCACCGCTCAACCGCCGTTTAACCACCGCATTTCAGTGTAACTTGCCTCTCCGAACACCAAGTAAGGATCTAAATCAACCCCAAGTTCATAAGCTTATCATATCTTCAACAGAACCTCAACCGAGAGCTACCCCGAACGCACAAACGCTATAAATCGGTGAGAACCAAGCCCCGAACACCACCATTGGTGGTCGAATCTTAGACCTAAGTAAACCCGAAAATAAAAGAAGCACAAAATAGCTCCCCTCGAACGTACACCAACACTCTAAACCAACACCCTAAATCGATAAACAAAACCTCAACCTCACCGTTTGAATCACCCTAAACCGACGATCAACCACCGACCAAGGTCAATGTCCTCCCACATTTCACGTATTAATGCTAAAAACAGAAAGAAAATAAGCATGAAAAAAGAAAGAAAAAAATGTGAAGGAGAGAGTCTTTTTTTAGTTGTTGTTTCTAAACTTAAAAAACCGGGGGTTTCTACTTGCTTTTTTGGCTTTTAAAGCCCTCAAAATAAAAAAAGATAAAAATACACGTTTGGTTTAGGAAACAATTATGGTATTACAGCTGCCCTTCTTTGCTCGTTTATTTTGTAAACAATGACGAAGCAAAGACAAATAATGGCCTAATTTTGTCTAGCTACGA